ATTTATGTAGCAACAACACATTATGCCACTAAAGATTTACAGAGATAATTCACTCAGATCATACAGTCAGATTGGTTCAAAGTTTTGTATCTAAGGAAAAGCATCTGATTAGTTTTAGTCTTTGTCTTGCAGAAAACATTCTTCCTGAATGAGCATGTGGCAACAGTAAACATTCACTTACAGTAATCCCTAACACCAAACACATATGCAGCAACAGTGAAGAGGACAAACTCAGGAAGAATCCTCCAGCAGAACCAGGCTCAGTGTTAGCAGCCATCTGCCGAGGCCGACTGGGGGATCAGGGAGACAGAAGAAGACGTACAAGTGGAACACACAAGCTCTGATCTATTAATACTTTCTATGTTAGAAAAGGTAGCAGTACATTAGTTTCATAGGTGGCTTTGTCTAGGAGAGCAAGTTAGCAGATGAGCTTAACTGTTAAAATATAGGAAATGAAGTAATGTACTCTAATTGCACACTGCAATAAAAGTTAGTTATGAAATTTGACTTAGTCTTAAATCAAAGCAGAAATCGAGCCCTATCAGAGCCTTAATACCACTAATCACCAAGAGTGGCATATAGTGCCGTTTTCAGGAGAAATAGGATGATTATAACCAGTGGGACCAGAGTCATCATGCAGCCTTTCCACTAGACTACCAGGAGGGGAAAATAAATATCTGAATTTATTGATCTTTTTACCTTTATTTAATTTACTTAGAGACATGAAATGTGCATAATGTGTGACTGTCCGAAGAGGGTTTTGGTTTTATTTTGAATATATTGACTAGGCTGTAAGAAAATGGTGTCACTGATGAATTATTACCTCTCCTGAAACAGGACTACATTTTTTATCTACAAACTAAAATTATAGTTAGTGTTCTTACAGCACAGTTATTAAACTTTTTTATGCTTCTTTTTTGATGGCTCTTCATAGCCTTGCCTCAACAGGGCTAGAATACTTTCATCATTGGAGTTTATGTTGACAAACTGAAAGGCACATATCGGACTTTCAACCATTTTGCAATAGAGCTATTAGAAATAAGTATGGCAGGATCCATCTTCTTTCACTTTTGTTGTTGAATGTTCACACACGCACTCGTAGAAACCTGAGCTTTATGTGAGTATAACTTTATCCTTGAATAACAACAAATACTGAAGCCTCACACACGTACAGAGTAGAGGTAGTTTTTAGTGTTCACTCTTCAAAGCAGTAAATAATTAAGAAATTTGGCAAAAGTTCAATAGTGTCTTTCAAAATACAAACAATTAGCTTCTGAAACACACAGTTTTACTGCAACTTTCAGTGAACTACTGGAAGTTGAACCCAGAGTCAACTCTATAGCAACACTACCTGGAATAAGGTCCGTATACTTAAAGTATAACCAAAATGGGCAACTTCAATCCTGAAGTGGCAAAGCTAAAACCTGAGATGCACTATCAGAGGCCTATACCTGCTCTGAGGAAAAAACATGGAGTTGTTGAAGTAATACTTCACCCACTGTCCTAAACTTCAACTTAATGAAATCTGTAATCTTTTTGTCTCTATTTTAAAAATATTTCTAAAACACTGTTTTACAAAGAGTGCTCTCTCCACCCCCATTTCATTATGTCACACCTTCCTTTAGAATAACTTAATTAATCACTGCTTCAGGTAAGAGATATCTTCTCATAAATAACAAAATAAGGGATTTTGTGTTTGGCCAATTGTTTATTTGTTGAATTATTATTTTTGGCAAAATTACATGATGTAAGAAAGCAGCATATGAGCTCTGCCCGCAAAAAACTTTCCTAGTCCTCTTTTAAAAATACAAAAATTCTAATTCACTATTTAGACAATGCAACCCTGCATTGCTGCTTCAAAGTTTTAATGAGCCATTATACATAAGATATATGTTGATATCTGCAAATCAAAAATGTACAAATTTTACAGTAACCTTACATGTTAACTTCTGTAAGACAGATGTTGATTTATTCTGGTTTATTGTTGAATTTTGCCAGAATATATTAATGTATCTCAGATAACGGGTTATCTAACTTAAAAGAAGAAAAAAAAGAATTAATGAAAATAGCTGGAGAAACTTCAGAATTACTAAAAGTGTGCAGAATTACATATGCTGCTTACTCAAATTATATCCATTGTTCCAGTCTGCTTTAAACTATCGTGGTCGGGCTAGCACTGTGCTGCTTCCTCATAATTTTATTTTATTTCCAGTAACTACACAGGAGGTCAAAGTTAACATCCATGCTGTGCATCTCGACGAGTCGGCTGCCAAAATAACGGAGGCGTGATTAATGGATGTTTTTCCACCCTTATAGCATGTCTCCCTCAAACAGAGTAATGACCCTTTTCATAGATGCAAACCAGAGCTGCAGCTCATCATATTTGGAAGAGTATTCAAATAACAAAGTGCTTCACCCTAGACCAATTAATCAGCTAACAGCACTAAAGTCAGTGATGTCGAGAGACTGCTTCTATTCAGACACATTGCATGCTCTGCACCCAGAGAGAAGCTTTTTAATGCATCATTGGCCAGAAGGAGGGATACAAATTGTGCTTCCACACACAAAAATTTTCCACTTCGTGCTCACTGGTTGGAAAAATGCATACCACCAGCTGAGTTTATGTTGGTTGTGCATCTGATGCAACAAGTTGCTTGTTTGAGCAATACGGAAATCAGCTTTTTAGATCCAGATGATCCAGACTCACTAGGGAACCTCTTAGTTTGGTGTAGACATTCAGAGGTCTTTTTTTTTTTACAACAACAACATGAAAGGTTTACAGTGTCTATTTTAAGTTTCAATGACTGCAGTGACTTCCACCCATGATTTTATACTCTCTGTATTTGAAAGGTGAGTCTGCTGTTGAATTATTCTGGCTTAAACATGCATATAAAGGTACTCTTTATCAGATAATATCGTCCCAAAATGTAAAAAATATCTTTAAAAAAAAAAATCCTGTATTAAATACTGCATAATTTTTTCGTTATTTTATACAGGCCAGTTGGTATTACGTCAGCTTGTACGCTTAAATTCGGCCTATCATATATCAACGGTCATCTATCAATCAAATTATTTTGGTCATAGCATCTTGATTCACATGTCAAAGCTAATATACTCAACGGTTGAAATAAGAAATAAGAATCAGTATTTACTTGACTGTTAAGTTCCGCTCCAGTGTTCACGGGGATGGATGTCCGTGTCTTCGGCAGGCGTAGAGCTAACAGAACTGGCAGCGTTGTGAGGCAAGGGCTCAAACATGTACGGCTGTAAGCCTTCTACACCAAACCAAGCTTCTGCCGCCCTGGCGTCCCTTTCCACAACAACGTCATCCCTGTTTTCCTCCTGTAAATAAAAAATGTATGACAGAGGAGACTCATCCACAATTTCTGACACAAAACTCTCCTCCTCTTTCATTTTTCCGCTGTCCATAGCATTCTTTGACAGTGTCGATTCTAAGTCACCAATTTAGTGCTACTTGGTCCCAATGTAATTTCCCATTGGGAACCTACTAGCACTAAGTTACTCACTAGTGAGCAAGATGCTTCCGAGACACCGGCCACAACCAAACCCACTGTGGAGAGGGTGTACACTCTCCACAGTCACTACATGCATGAGTCAACGACAAAATGCATGTGAAAATTGTTGCTTCTAGCTCATCTAGGAGGAACATGTCTTGAAGTCAATCAGCTTTTAACCAGTCTGACTGTATTGTCTCTATAAAGTGGCCTGAGATGTGTTGTGAATTGGAGCTATAAACATAAATAAACTGAATTGAATTGAATCTGTATGGTTAAAGCTTTTAAAACATTGCTGGGGATTAGTTAACTTTTTTTTTTTAAATAAGTATAAGTTTTAGGCTTGTCAACTTCATTGTACGGTTACAAATTGATATGTAGAGACCCTAAATAAAAGGGAACATAATGAACAACAATTTAGAATTACAATGTATGCTCTGACCTTGCCACTTATGCCACTAGAGAATACAATTTGCCAAACTCCAACCAATTTACCCCTGTGGGCTTTCAAGTATTCAAGTCAGAAATACAGCAACCTGGGCTTTGTGATGGGCCGTTGGCTCACTCTCCAAGGTCACTCCATTTTTTGTGACAGCTCGTCCAGAGTTAAATCCACCTGGAGAGACAACCACAGGCACTTAACAAACTAATGAGCGGCTGTATCTGCCAGAGGAACTGAGTGTCATCATGGCAGTGTTGCCTGTAGGGGGGATCGCTTGGAGAAGAAAAAAAGAAAGAAAGAAAACATGAACGCATGATGATGGATTGGGAAATAATGTGACCAAAAAAATAGGAGGTTATGAAGGGGGCTTTTCACTTCCTCCACAGAGGAGGCTCATTAACAGGGAAGTCAGCAGAAGCTTGGGCACTGAGGGAGGAAGAGATGGACCAGGCTGAGAGGAAAGAGCTGACGTAGAACATAGAGAGAGTGAACTAAACAAAGTAGGGAAAAATATGTGAGAATGGAAAGAAAAGGGGTAGGGAAGGAGAGAATCGGGAGTTTGAGCGATTGCCCCAGATGTGGAGAATGTGTGTTGGATGGATGAATAGGTGGATAAAGGGGAAGAAGCGGTAATTACAGGCCTTGTTGTGTGGTTGGAGAGATGGAGGAGCCCCTAGTTCTGCACTGCCACTCTGCATTAACCTCACAGAATGAAATATTCAGCTATTAGGCCTTGGCTGAAACACATCCAGCACCCAAGCTCATGCAACATTTAAACACCATTCATGCTCTATTCATTGGAAAGAAGCTTATTGCAAATAATCATCACTTTAGATTTTAATTCAAGATGCAGTTTTATGGTTTCATTTGTAAATGCAACACTGTGCCCGAGTCCACAGGTGAGTGCGGTGAGCCGGGATCAGCTCCAATTAAGTCCTGAAATCCTTTGTAAACATTGCCTGGGATTTGAATTTCTCACATCACACAGAGGGATAGAAAGGCTTTTTATCTTTCATTTGTTTTTTGTTTTTTTTATCCCTCAGAGTCTGAAGTAACGACAGTGAACCGCTGCCTGGATGCCGCCAAAGCGTGCAACATAGATGAGACATGTCAGAAGCTGCGCACAGAGTACGTCTCAGCCTGCATCCAGCCGTCAGCCCGCTCAGGGCCATGTAACCGACCAAAGTGCAACAAGGCGCTCAGGAAGTTCTTTGACCGCGTTCCCCCTGACTACACCCATGAGCTGTTGTTCTGTCCCTGCACCGACACAGCCTGCGCCGAGCGCCGCAGGCAAACCATTGTGCCATCTTGCTCTTATGAAGAAAAGGACAAGCCCAACTGCCTGGCTCAGCTGCGAGACTGCAAACAAGACTATGTGTGCAGGTATGTATGCTTGTTTTCTGATAAATCCCTGTTTAGACTGTTTTTTAAAAACTGCCTGAACTCTGTTATAGGTCAACTATTCTCTGTTTGCATGTAAACCATTCAGCACATACTACCCTAAAGGTATAATTTGAGATTCCTGAAATAGGCTTTTGTCAGGAGATTACAAACAGTATTTATCTCACCAACCATTAATAACTGTGTCGGCATTAGGGGTGGGACTTGGCAAGGATATTGCAATATGATACGTATTATGATATATGTGTCATGATACAATTTAGCCTGAAATATCTCAATATACTAACAGGAAGATAAATGGAAATTTTTAAAATAATATAGCTCAGGAAAGCTTTATGAGTTCTTCTTGTTACTCTCTCCTGTGGAACCAACTCCCAGTTTTAGTCCATGAGGCAGACATCCCGTCTCCATTTAAAGCTATGGTTAAAACGTTCCTTTTTTTTAATAAAGCTTATAGTTAGAGTGGCTAAAGTTATCCTAAGTCATCACTATAGTTGTGCTGCAAAGCTATGGGTTGTTCTCTGTAAGACAAACATTAGTTAATTGAATTCATAATTAAATAAGTTTAACACGCTGATGAATGTATTCTGACAGTAGAAATATGCTCTAAAATGATTGATGTTGAATTTGGATCTTCATATGTTCTAAGCTAACATAAGCATCACTGTTTATATCGAGAAAAGTGAGACTTCAATTAACTCTTTAATTACAATGGAACACAAACAACTACTGATAAACATTTTTTTCTTTTTATGTAAACAATGCATTTATCAAATTGTCAGATAATGACAGAGATGACTGTTAGATGTTAAGTCACCTAGGGAAAAAAAAATATTGTCCTAAGAGGTTGGATTTCTTAGAAAGTAGCGAATTACATGTGCATTTGTATCAAATATAGCTGCTTGTATGAGTATTTACATATGTCCACATTTTTCAGAGCCTTGACCTTAAGAAAACATAAATTAGGAGCAGTAAAATTACATGTCTGAGATAAAGACATTGCCTAAGTGGATCATTTATAAAAGAACATGAAGATGCCTTCTGCAGCAGCCAATTTCCCTCTCTAGGTCAGTTTCCCATCCAAACACAACACCTGTTCACAGACAAATATAATATAAATAATAACAAAGTTAGAAGAGTTAAAATAAATGTAAATATTCACATTTGAAAATAACAGATGATTCTATTTCTAGCCTGTTTTGAACATATTGGCTGTGTCCAAACATCCACCCTAACCCACATATAGGACACTATATAGTAGTTGCATCATTTTAAATGGGTGTCCGAATGTCTAGTGGATAAAAAAGTAGTTGACATAAAATTTCCCACAATGCACCTTGAAAAGTAGTGATCATCCATTGTCTTTAGACGAGCAGACATATCCCAGAATGCTTTGCGAGAGATCACCCCCCAGAGCATCATGGGCTTGCAGTTGAGTAGCGACAGAGGAAGCAAATAACAATAGCGCATGCATTGTGTGGGGAAGCAGAGTTATGTGACTAATGAAGAGCAAAAGTAGTGATCATCTGTCCAAATGGTCAGTTAACTGAGTTCACTGTAAAGTCCACTATATAGTCCGCACACTGTATAGCGATTGAGGGATTTAGGGGTTAGGGCGGACGTTCGGAAACAACCAATGACTTTAGCTGATGAATGTCCAGCCCCTGATTGTTTGACTTTCACCCTTGACCTCCTGAGCAATTTCGTTAAATAGCCCTGCTCTAGAGATTAAGTTGTGTTCTGTATCTTTAAGCAGAGGTTTGTGAAGTGTGACATGGTCATTTGAATGAGAGATGTCAGTTTTGTTTAATTATCTTAACTTTAATGTTTATTAACCTCATTCATTTAGTTCAATTGATGTCCACATTCATTTTCTGAGGCAAGCGGCAAGGCGACAAGCAGCCATGTGAAATAATGGTTATAGTAAACAGCTGTTATCACTCAGGGTTCATTTTGTTTTCTACTGTACATGCTCAGAAAATATTAAAAACAAGGTCTGCTTATGGACCTGAGAGACATGCAGCGTTATCCTAATGAGTTTTTTTATATAAACTGAAATATGTGTTTATTTGTCCCCTTAATAAAAATGTGATGTTATTAAAACTTTGATGAATTGTAGTTTGTCTAATTAAAAAAAGCCAAACAACATGCCATTAATTCATTAGGATTCATAAGGGATGTGTCTCAGGAGCAAGGACTTCTCAGACCCATCCTGTCTGTTCTGTTTTCTCTGTCACCAAACGGTCTCTAACATTTAATCTAGCTCCTTTCAAATGTCAAAAAGACAAAGGACTTCATCTGTCATGGCTATCGATCAGGCATCGCTCTCTGGAATGGAGCTTCTCAAGGCCCTGCGTTGCCCCCCAGTAATCCCACAACAGTCAGCCGGCATTAAGCGGCTGCCTGCAGAGGCTGCCTTCACTCACTGCACAGCCTTTGAGTTTTATGCACATCATTACAATGACATGACAAATGAGGCCAGGACGCAGACTTGTGGCACCCTGAGGGAATCATGCTGCAAGCGATAGTGGATCGGTGGCCAGTGATGCGATATAATGGTGGAGATAGCCTTGTATGATGATGACGGTCATGAGGGTAGTGGTGGGGGTCGCGCTGACTGAAAAGGTAAGGAGGGGAAGGCAAAGTGACCATGAGAGGATGGATTTATATTCAACATCCTTATCTGTCTCATATGCTGTTTGGAGAGGTGCCACCTGTTAGACAACACGAGTGGTATTTAGAGAGTAGAGCCAAGGCCTGTCTTTGTCTTCCATTGACTCTTTACAGTCTGCCAGACTTCAAGACGATAACTAGTCGGGGAAAGGCAGAATTAATGAGTGGAAGTGTGGTAGAGTGGGAGTACAGGGAGTTGATATAACAGTATGAGTATTTAGAGGAGCATTGTGGGTTTTAGATCTGCATCCTGGTGTTAGAAAGAAAGCGCTGCTGCTCGACACCATGAAGTGACACAATGAGTGCAGCAGCCAAGCACCAGTAAATGATGGATGGCATCTTATTGCTCCCACAGGTCTCGCTGGGCACAGTTCCAGTACGACTGTGAAGCGTCTGAGCACAGCGCCAGTGGCTGCAAGAGGGAGAACCATGGATCATGTCTTCTTGCGTACACCGGCTTGATTGGTAAGGACTACGTTTCTCTGTCGCTCAGCCCTTACTGTGTTCTATCTGGATCAAAAAGTCGTTTTTACGCCAAGAAAGGCTCTGAGCCGACAAGCTTGCTGAACACAACTCAAAAGAATAAATCAAGGATTGTGATGAGAGGCATGCCTCAGTGATCGATGGTATGCTGATTAATATGCCCAGCCACTGGCATTGTAAGTAGTGCAATTACAACTTCTGACTGCTGTTATAAAAGAATCCTCCCCAACATTTTGATCAAGTAGAGCACACAAAGGCTTTCAACATGGCTATTGTACTTCAGATACAAACGTAAACAATCAGACAATGTTCAGAAGGTTGTTCAAAACATGAACCTTAAAGAAGTCATTGTAGAAAAAGAAGCATGGCTTTAGTCACACTGGGCAGAAGACAGAAAGTTGGGTGTTTGGATTGAATAATAGACATATTAAATAAAGGTTCAAAGAAATTTAATGGAAACAAATCAAAACGTTTACAGCGGCATGCTCGCCACATCCAGTGTGAAAGGTCCTTAGCGTTTAAAACTAGACACATCAGGAGACTTACTCACCTATGAATAATTTACCTGATATCTTTTCAGGCAATTTATAAACATCAGTATGAAGATAGCAAATATGATCAGTTGATTGTGAAGAAGAAAGAAAAACTCTGAGATAAGAGGCAAAAAATAAACTTTTTAATTATATTTGAAGACTAGCCAAACTGCCTTTGTGCTTCTTTGGTCACAACGGTCCATTTGTTTAAAACCCAACCAAGTCAGGAAGATTGGATATATACCCTATGTATGACAACCATTAGAAGGATTTGGGAAAACATCTGACATCATAATGAGACCTGTGCTCAACACCTGATGGGTCCCATTTTAGTTGTAGAGCTACACATTTGGATTGTGCATCCCTACGCAGAACTGTATTTGGAAGGCACCTCCAATTAAATCGATATTCACAACAGTGCCACTGAATTCCCATTTAAATTCATGGTGTAACTTTTTTGTTGTTTGCATTTTTGACATGCTGCTTTGGTGCAACAAGCGAAAGTGTAAAGTTGATGTTACAAACAGAAAAAAAAGAAAACTAAATAGTGAACATTCAAACTCTTATCTGGTAAGAGAGATTACAAGATGACAAGCTGGTCACTAAATATAAGCCTTAGATAAATATTTATAAGAAGCATTTGAAATTGACATAACAAAGATTACTGCGGTTAAAAATGAGGCAGACGAAAAAGGATGCTTCATTTCAATTTCAAGCAACTATTCTTACATCTAATAAGCTGCAATGGTAATAAAATATTTTGAACATACAGTCCCCTGCTGGTTAAAATGTGTATAGAAACTCAATATACATTTTTTTCTTTACTAAAAAAAAACTTCTTCATGCTAATGAAAAGTACCTTCAATTTTAACCTACCAGAGTTTTTTTTTTTTTTTTTAAGTCAAATCCATGGACTTCTTATTATAGAGAACAAGTTTCCCAGCCATATGGACCCCATATGCCAATGTTGGCTGGAAATATGTAGACCTAAAATAAAAATATATACAAGGATTTTGCATATTTAAGCTTGGTGCCCCAGCTATTATATTTTTAATAAGGTTCTGTTGTGTTGTAAGATCATCGTTTGAAGTACATAGAGGAAAACTGAACAAACTTTTAACTAATATTTTTCTCTATTTCTTGATATCCAGTGTTAATGTGCCTGATTTCTCTTTCTTTTGACTTATCTTTCATCTATCCAGCTTTTTTAATCCATCTCTCTATCCATCTAAATATGATCATGTACATGCATGCAAACATCTCTGCCTAAACCTGATTAGACTATTGCTGTGATGATAGAAATGTCTGTTTTATTTGATTATCATAATCAGAGTAAGGTCTTAATCTTTCTAAGTATAACAAGATTAAATCAGTTCTGCCCAATTTGACTTTCAACTCCAGTTTTATCATTTTTGTGAATTGAGTCAGAAACTGCACATACTATCTCATTTTCAAATGTAGATCTCTACTCTGTAAGGAGAACAGCAGGGATTGGGGTAGTTTAAAAAAAAAACAAACACATCTAAAAAGGCATTTTGTGCATCCTACTGATCTGATTCAGGCAGGGCATAGTGACATGAAGCACTATATTACTGCAGTCAAACAGTAAAAATCCAGATTTGCCTCATTTTATCTTCTCTTCTTCCTCCTTTGCAGGAAGCACAATAACGCCCAACTACCTTGACAACTCTACTTCCAACGTAGGACCCTGGTGCTCCTGTGCAGCAAGTGGCAATCACAGGGAGCAATGCAATGACTTCTTGGCTTTTTTCCATGACAACGTCTGTCTGAGTGAGTAGCAAGAAGGACATATGGCACGACCCAAACAATAACTGCCTCAGTAAGGTAACAGAACAACTATGAGAATAAAGATACCCTGCAGATCTGTATCAAAAGGAGATAGCAGCAGACTTCCACTATAAAAACATGAGTCAGGCTAAACTACAATGGCTTTTACTTCTTTTTACATTTACAGTTTGTCTTATTTTAAGCACAGAATTGTTTTTACTAAAATATTATGTGGTTGACCAACCTAAGCGGCGCTTATGTAGGAATTGGAGAAAAAAATCTGACATGCAAAGCTTACGTTTGCATTTTTTGCTCCACATCTATAATCTATAAGCCTAAATCAAATTGAGAGAAGCAAGAATATGTTCTTGCTTTTTCAACTATGGTTGAAAGACAGGCATAAGAAGCTCAATTTTCTAATCATGTGGTGTTGTGGTTAGATCAAATCTGAAATGAGCTGTTTAAAAATAATATGAAGCCAAAAGAGCCAATGTGTGTTAAATGCTCACACAAGCAGTTTTTAATTCAAACACACGTTTAAACTGCTCTCCATGCACATATGTCCCAGTAGATTCTCTTCTACTTAGTGTGCCACTGTTTTTGTCACTCATGTCAACCCTTTTTCACTTTGAGGTGGAACCTACCTAAGACAGTAAACTTCCTGTGATTGGCTGCTTTTCAGGAAATCAACGTTAGAAAAACATCTTAAGGATAATTATTATCATCTTAAGGCTAAGAATTATGATGTACTGAAAAGTAGGCAATCATATGCAGTTAACTCTCTTAGGTAGGTTCTCAGGAGTAGGTTTTTACATATAATTAAGAGTGAGTACTTTTGACAGAATTCTGACTTCACAAACACACTTACTACGTACAGTGGTCTAAATCTAAACCTGATTCTTTGGAGAATATCCGGCAGAAACTACAAAAACCTATACAGTCTAACTGAAGTTTAGGTACTTTCCGAATAGGATTGATTCTTGTCTGTTGTAATCTAACAAAATGTAAACAAATGTAGGTTTAAAAAAAACATATTTTTTTATTCTTTTCTAGAAAAATATATCTATGGTCACCATAACATTCAAATCATCCAACTGAATTTTGTTCAGATCTCTGTTTTTCAGCTTCAATATTGTATGAAGACATTTCTCATAAAAAATAACGTGCAGCTAAACAGCCATGTACAAAAAGCATAACCTGTTCAATCAGCTGAGGCTCTTTTATCTTTTCTTAATGGTGTGGTACCTCTAACACTTATGCTCTCTTTGAATATTTTCAGCCGGCAATGGAATTGGCATTGGAGATCTGATCAGTCTTCAGCTATTCCGTTAAATCAAGGCACTCTGTGTTCCACCACTTTCCTCTGTATCTGTTCTGTGGATTTAACTCCATTTAATAATGTTTGCTTTTCTTTCACTGGATCAAAACAGAAGTTCTTAGAGGGTATTTTACAGGAAAGAAAAATGTAATATGTTCATTCTTATTATGTGAAATTTATTCCAGAGTGGGTAGGGGCCATAAACAAACATTAAGTCATTTAGACAGGAATACCTAGAAGGCATAAAATAAAGATCCACATCTAATTATGGCACTAGTATATTTATCTACAGAGTGTGCAGATGATGATGATGATGATGATGATGGAAACAGGAGAGGTTATGATCTTAAAAATCCCCTACAGGTCAAAAAATAAATGTAAAAGATTCCTGGTAGCTGAAGGCTGCTCCTATGGGAAGGTTGGGTAACAGACCAGAACATGTTAGCAGTCCAACTAAGAAGAGCATGACAAGAACAGAGTAAGCTGGTCCTGCAATATAAATGAATCCACAAAAGGCTATGCAAGAAAAGGCAATTATAGAATAAAGTCAGCTGAGAAAATCAAGAAAATTGTGTTAGTGCGAAAATGGGAGAAAAGAAAGAACCCCGTTTAAGGTCCTAATTTATGTGAAAACTAATGCTGAGATTTTTTTTTTTACTTTTAATTATTATGCTTTTTATGTTACAACCACAAATTTAAAAGTGTTTTTTGTTTGTTGCCATCCAACAATGTGGTGTGTCATTGTAGAGGAAGCAAAAGGATACATAGTTTCCTTTTTTCCAACAACTGAGAGCTTAATTAAACCCTTTGAATTGCCTATGTTGGAACAGGGACACATCTGTATAAGAAAGTATGAGTAATGGAGTTTGCTAGTGGGCTAAGAAATCACAAATAATGTCCAGGAAAGAGAAAGCTAACAGCTTACTGATCTTTATAGATTATAATTAGTAGTAATTCAAAGCAAAATCATAAAAAAAGGAAAAGGGGATGATTTAAAATCGCAGGGAAGAGAAAACAACCTAAAATAACTAAGCCAAGAACACCCCTCTTTAAAAAACAATGAGAACACAGGCACCTTCCTTTAAGACTCCTAAGTCAGTCCTTAAGATGCTTTTACACCAGACGTCAATTTCCTGCCCCAGGCAAAGACTATACATGTTGTCCCTATGTAGAGGGTGGCTCAGGAGCACCTTGAGACAACAAGGTAAAGGACACAATTTTAGCGAGGGGAATTACACATTTTTAGCGATTACTGTGAAGAGCTCCGCTGCACCTGCAAAGACTAGGAGGTGAAAATAAAGATAAAAATTCTGAATTTTGTAGATATTCACATCAGATAAGAAAAAAAGATTCATGGACCAGATGAGGCTTTGATAGAGGGTGAAGGAGGATAGGGTTTTTTTCTATCAAAATGGAAGATAGATAAAATAATGTTAACAATTAGATAGTAGGGAATGCTCTTAATGGCATGGGATGTTATTGCCATTTAGCCTAGATGGATGTCTTCTTTCCTTAGCTCCAGCGCAGGTGTTCTCCGTCTAGCTGTCTTTTCCAATCTACCAATGTCCATCTTGACTGATTGATTGATTGATGGATTGATTGATTGACTTTATTGATCTCACAGTGGAGAAATGTACTCGTTACATCAGCTCAAATAGTCAAAGGATAACAAGAAGGTTCCAAAGGATACAGGATTATTATACAGGGTTAACTTTTATCTCCCGCTGTTACCTCCAAATCTAACCCCGTCCAGTCACAATCTCAATTTACCGCTGTTCTCCTCCGTTTTATTGCTCTTGCTCTTTGGGTCCAGAGGACATCAGGCCTGGTCACCTCATCCTGGTTCTGGTGTTTTCTCTGACGGGGGTTCTTGCTCTGATTTCCTGCTGCTCCTCTGTGAGCAAAGTGGAAGCATCACCAGAGGAGCTCCTGGATCAGGGGGCGCCAACAGCTGTGTTTGGCTTTCCAAAGTAAATAAACCACCCTGAAATTCAGGTCTGCCATGCAGAAGTGAACCAACAACAAGCAGAATTTATGACAAAGTAAAGCCTTTTGCCCACTGTGCAACCTGCTTTCTGTGAATCTCTGGCCAAATTTCTAGGAAACAAAAGCCCACGAAACAGGCTATTATTTTTGCAGGTTTTAAGCTTGATTTAAATGCCCCATTGGAGCCCATTATTTTTAAATGGCTCATTCCAATCCTCTGCAGAGCTTGTTGACATACTGAAGAATTAATTCAGCCATTTAAACAGTGCCACAGGAGCCAGCTCCCATCTAAAACTTACAGAACATTGGCTTTTCGGGGTTGGAGCTGGATACCTCTGCTTTGAGTACACCTGAGCCACAAAAGGCTGAAATGAACAGAAGTTCACTTTATAGACTGGCAGTGGTATAATCTGTGGTACAGGATACAGTGGTATACCTCATATAGGCACTTTAATATTTGTGGTTTTAGTATAACCACCTAAAAATAAGCAGAGATATGTATCAATCACTGTGATATTTATGACGATGAATCATAGCAATGACGACTTAAATGACAATGATTTGTATGACACATCATGTTATTTGTCATGCATTGCTCTTCCTGTTACTCTTTTCACAGATGATCAGCCCCCTCCATCCCTGTGTCTTTAATGTCAAGCCATGAATGACATAGAGTCTTGTGCATCTCTTCAGCAAAATGTGAAAATCCAGGCAAGATTTATGACTAGATTGTAAACAAATGGGCTGTTTTCCAGAAGTAATGATGAAGTGCAAATTCCCACAAATGTGAAAATGGCCTCAATTGTCTTTGAAGTCATTCTGTTCTGTACATTTATCCATCAGTTGTTTATAGTCTCTTCTCCTCACTGGTTCCCAACCCCAGTGTTCCCTGTGTAGCAGGTTACATGTAAAAAGGTTGCAACTTCATAACAGATTTTTTTTTTGTCAAAGTAAAACCACAAATGTTTGATACTTCTCCCTACTTTCAAACCAAAAAAGAATCTTAAAAATACCTAATTGCATTGAGAAACTAATACTGTCAAATTTTTAAGAGTTTTGTGCATTAAGAGACTGGAAGTTCTGCACATGCTTCTTTGCAATAGTTATATGCCAATTTATACAAAAATAGTAATGCCTCTGATATCTGAATATTTTAGCACCAAAATCAGTTCTAAAATCTGAGTATTGATGCTTTCAATACTACCGTAATTTATGAAATGAATGTAAATGAATAAATGAATCAGCTAAATGCACTCTTTCTTGAGAACCACTTTTCTTGCGCCTGGTAAGTCTGGAAAGGCTCAGTACGTAATTTCAAGCACAGTGTCCTGCCATTGCTCAGCTACTTACAGACAGGAATAGATTATTAAATAAATGGGTGATATTGAACATCAGAACTTTGCAATATAACTATTAAATTTAATGTGAGATCGGGCAATCAAAACAAGGATTTAAAATAAAAGTGAGATTAAAAGGAGGGATAGTGCCATGCATATTACTGATTTTAAATACCCTGAAGATGCTGACTTGTATATGGATCTCACATTTGCAAATAAAAATCAAGATGCTTTGATTATTTAACTCCTAAAACCCATTTTTAGGAGCATCGTTATACCCATATAAATATTTTTCGCCCTTATTTCTAATATAATACAGGTAGGCCTGTGGTGATGCTGGAGGCCCTTTTTAATTTGATATT